AAGAAGAAGAAGAACAAGAACAAGAAGCACAACAACGACAACAACCGCAAGAAGGAGTCATACCACCACAAGGGATACAAAAGGGAGCACAAAGAGTTCACGGAGTGTCAAGTCTCGAAGCACTAAAGACCGAATTGAAGGCCGATTTCAGGGCCGTGGCTAAAACATCCGAGATAGAATCATCGATGTTGTGAGAGGGCTTTTAAAGGAGGTTGGACTCCTTGGAAAAGAGGGATTTGTCCCAAGTCCCACAGTGCAGGAGAACCCGGTGATAGATCCGGTAGATAAGGACATATCCACGCCCAGATCCACAGCGACGCCCAGGTCCACAGTGCAAGAGATCAGAAAAAGTCCTGTTGTGAAAGAAAGAGTTACGACAAGTCCTTTGATGTGTTCTGTCGGTACCGACGAATACTATGATCAAGATGTTGGACTTTTTGAGTTAAGACCGAGAGATGTGACTCCATTGGAGTCAGAAAAAGAGAAACAACTGCCCAGGAGGCATTGGTTACAGAGAAAGAACCGTCTCCTAAGGAGAAAGAGGCATCGAGCAAGGAGAAAGAGCCCTCGCCTAAAGAGGTTGATCTTTCTTCCATGGACGCAGAAGTAGGAAGTAAGTATTCAAACTTTGTCATTTGGTCACATTACTTGATCACATGAGATCATATTTACTTGGTTACATGGGACCATAGTTACTTGGTCACATGGGACCATAGTTACTTGGTCACATGGAACCATATTTACTTGGTCACATGGGACCATATTTACTTGGTCACAAGGGACCATATTTACTTGGTCACATGTTTTAATTAATCTGTGCATATCTTGTGTTTTGTTCAGGAAATGTCCCCGAAGAAGATGCTGAAGAGAATGATAGTGACAATGATGCTGGCAGTGGCGATGAGAACACGGAAGAAGAGGGTGACGCCGATGGTGATGAGGGTAAGACAACCGATGAAGATTCTGAAAAGGATGACGCCGATGGCGATGATACCGATGGCGAAGAGGGTGAGGGAACCGACGACGATGATACAGCAGCTGAATCTTCTGACAAAGAATCGGCTGCCAAAACCAATGAAGACACAGATATGTCTGCCCCCTTGTTGAACATGAAGTCAATCAACCTCCACCAGCAGTTGACTCCTCTGATACACAATAGTTGAAAAGAACAAAGAGGAAGCTTACTGATGGGCCATCCAGAAGAAGCCATTATGTAGAACCAACATCAACTGGTCCACCGACCAAAAGACAAAGATCTCAGGCTGTAGAAGGTCGAGGCAGAGGCAGAGGTCGAGGCAGAAGTAGAGGCAGAGGCAGAGGCCGAGGCAGAGGCAGAGGTAGGGGCAGCGGCAGAGGTCGAGACAACACTGCCCAGGAGGATGTTGTTGGGGAAGACGACGATGAGGAAGAAGCTTCTGAGGATGACGTTGCTGCGGTCGAGACTGAGAAAGGAATTCTGCATTCGTCAAGTGAAGAGAAGGTATTTGTATGGAATCCAGAGCATGTCAACCCGCGTGGAGGTCTCATCAGGACTCCAGGATTTGTAGAAACATCTGGTCCACGGGCCAACGCTCTATGAGAGTTTATGAAGAAGCCGCGAGAGACGCGATTGTGGAAGTCAAAATTGGATGGAATACGTACGTCAAAATTTTGGGAAGATCTTCTACAAGTGAGAGTATGTCTCACAGATACTGTAAGGTTACATTAAGTTATCTTACTTAACAAGGTCACATGTATCTTGGATATATGGTACCAAATGACTCAGTCACATGGTACCATTGCTCCAAGTCACATGGTACCAAATGACTCAGTCACATGGTACCATTGCACTCAGTCACATGGTACCATTGCACTCAGTCACATGGTACCATATGCACTCAGTCACATGGTACAGACTTCTGAAATATGTTGTTGTTTTTTTTGTAGCATATTGAGGAGGCAATGTATGAGTTACGACTCCGCGTTATAAACAACCCGATGACCTACATAGGAAGCAATTATATGGTTGCTGACACTATTTTCTCGGAGCACATTAAGTGGTGGGAAAAATCAGGTGACTTGTCAACTCTGGGAGCTCTGAAGCCGTACTTCGAAGGAAGCCTTCCAACTGGGTGTGCAGG